ATAGATGAAACAAAAACATGCAGGCGTGTATGTTGAGCAAAGTCAAAATATGAAGTAACTAAAATGATGGAAGCAGAACTTTGGATATTTCCCAAATTTAATGGATGTTCCACAAAAGATGATACATATCAACTACAATTTTATGAGCATACTGTTAGCATTATTGTTCAATGTTTCATCAACTTTAAGCCAACATGACCAATTTCCAAAAATAATTTTTGCATATTAATAGAATGCACAAAACATGAGACCATGTTCATGATCAAAAATGTGATTAGCTGTGTCCCTCAGGCATTAAAATATTAACAAACTTTAAAAAATGCAAGTAAAAACAGATGGCACACAAAGCAGTACATTGCTTCTTTGATGGAGAATTTATAAAACGGTTAACGATGTACAAATTTACTCTAATGGAGTTCATACTGAAAAGCCATTTGTGTGAAATAGCTTATTTCTACTTTTTCAGCAATTTACTAGTGAAATCAACTTTCAGAATTTTGATTTTCAGGAACTGAAGAGCTTTTATATACTATGTATGAATTTAATTACTGTCAATCAGATGCCATCCAGCTGTACCTGTTAAAGAGCACAAAATATTTGTGGCTCGGAATATTCTTTACCTTTTGGTGCAATGACACCTTTTTAAATTATTATTATTTTAATTCATCATTGCAGCTGCAAGTGGCACATGATCTGTAATGAATTATTCTTTTTGTCAGGAGGATTCTTTTCACTGTTCTAGTAGATGATATAACTCAGCTCATTCTTGCGTAGAAAACAAAGTTAACTTTGTACTTTTGAGATCGTTTTCTTCTCAGTTTTTCTTTTGAATCTCTGCTTACATAAATACATTTCATTATGCTCGAGCCCCAGAAGGTTGCACAACGATCATTTGCAATGCAAAGAAGGCAACACAACACTAATTTACAAAGAGCCTCCTGTTGGTGATGGTGCAATAATGGATGGTCTGACCTGCAGCAGATCAGATGATAACTGGAGTTTATCATTTGCAAGGATGTAGAGGGC